AAACTTTGGGGAAACTCTCCAGGACTTTGGATTGGGCAAAGATTTCTTGAGTAAATACCCGCGAAGCACAGGCAACCAAAGCAAAAATGAACAAATGGGATCACATCAAGTGTAAAAGCTTCTGCACAGCAAAGGAAACAATCAGCAAAGTGAAGAGACAACCCAAAGAATGGGCGAAAATATTTGCAAACTACCAATCTGACAAGGAATTAACAACCAGAATATACAAGGAACTCAAACAACTCCGTAGGGAAAAAAAAAATCTAAAAGTCTACTTAAAAATGGGCAAAAGATCTGAATAAACATTTCTCAAAAGAAAACATACAATTCACAAACAGCTACACGAGAAGGTGCTCAACATCGCTGATGATCAGAGAAATGCAGATCAAAAACTACAGTGAAATAGCATCTCACTCCAGTTAAAATGGCTATTACTCAAAAGACAGGCAATAACAAATGGCTGTTATCCAAAAGACAGGAAAAGATGTGGAGAAAAGGGAACTCTCGTACACTTTTAGTGAAAATGTAAATTAGTACAACCACTATGTAGAAGAATTTGGAGGTTCCTCAAAAAACTAAAAATAGAGTTACCAAATGATCCAGCAATCCTACTCTTAGATATATACCCCAAAGAAAGGAAATAAATGTTTAGAAGAGTTATCTGCACTCCCGTGTTTATTGCAGCACTTCTCACAATCGCCTAGATTTGGAAGCAACCTAAGTGTCCATCAGCAGGTGAATGGATAAAGAAAATGTGGTACACTGACCCAACGCAGTGCTATTCAGCCATAAAAAAGAATGAGATCCTGTCATAAAAAAAGAATGAGATCCTATCCATAACATGGATGGAACTGGAGTCCTTTACATTAATTGAAATAAGCCAGGTACAGAAAGACAAAGTTTGCATGTTCTTACTTATTTGTGGGAGCTAAAAATTAAAAGAGTTGAACTTAGGGAGATCAAGAATAGAATGAGGGTTACCAGAGGCTGGGAAGGATAGTGAGGGTGTGGAGGGGAAGTGAGGATGGTTAATGTGCACAAACAAAATAGAAAGAAAGGATAAGATATAGTGTTTGGTAACACAGAAGGGTGACTATAGTTAACAAAATTTAATTGTACAATTGAAAGTAACTGAGAGAGTATTACTGGATTGTTTGTAACACAAAGGATCAATGCTTCAGGTGATGGATACTCCATTTACCCTGATGTGATTATTACACATTGTATGCCTGTATCAAAATATCCCATCTACCCCATAAATATACACATCTGCTATGTACCCGCATAAATTAAAAACTTTGAGAACCCTGAGTGTTTCCTTTCCAATATAACTAAGCATTCTAAATGCAACTTTGAATGAAAATTTCTTTATATGCCTCAAATTTGAAAATATGTAAGCCAGTCAAAGAATGTGTATTTATTATTGGAGACTCAATAATTAATGATGACAAGCTGTTAAGCTAGTGAAGTGGTTCTCAAGCAGGCATGATTTTGCTCCCTAGGGAGCACTGTCAACTCTGGAGACATTTTTGGATGTCATGCTATGGGGAGGAGGGAGGAGATGCTGTTGGCATCTTGTAGATAGAGGCCAGGGATTTCTTGTAATACACAGGACAGCCTCAGTGTCAACAGTGCTAAGGTTGGGAAATGCTGGGCAAGAAGAACTGAAAGCCCAGGGCCAGGGTCTCCCAGAAAAAACTAGGCACACCTGTCCAGCAAGAGCTGGACCCACTGAGCTGTCCTCTATGGCAGACAGAGAGGAAGAAATACCCTCCCCCTCCACCTTCTGTCTTTTTGGCCGTGAAGTAAATGAGCATAACAAGGAAATATCAGATATTTTCCTATCACTGTATGGAAGTCTCCATTTAGCCTACACACAGATTAGAAAAAGGTATTCCCCTGACTTGACAGAGCCCCATTTGTACATAGCATGATGAGTGGACCACAAGCTGGATTTAAGCTTTCACTTATCCTCTCAATTGGTCACCTTTGTGCAGTGCACAAACTATACAACCTTATATGGCAGACCTCAACATAAGCACTAGTTCCATTAATACTACAAAACTTCATACAGCTTTTAATATGTGGTAACCATGAGATAACTCATAATAAGAGTAATTAAAAGGAGAACAAGACAGATTGAAAAGAAGATCAAAGAAGAGGCATCTAAAAGTGAGATGGGGGTTTGTGGCAGTTATCTTAGAAGGATAAGTTGCCAAATGTAGGCTCTCTGTCAGGAACCCAATACAAACACCAGAACAAAGAAAGACACAAGAAAAGATTAAAAGGGCAGCTACCTTTAAAAGCTTGGGAAAAATAGCTGTAACTGGGGAGGGGCAAGAGAGAGTAAAGAAAGGGAGTGATTATCTTGAGCTCCTATGTGGAAAAAGTCAGTTGGGGATTACTTTTAAAATTCGAATTAAACTGGCTTGGCAGTTTAATGAGGTGCTGTCACCTACACCCTTTGAAAGCTATAGACCAAATATCTTAGTTAAAGCTTATAAAGATTTACCTTAATGATGGTTAATTAGCAAAAAAGTGGCTATCAAATAAGAAATAAGAGGAAACAAGCTCAGGAGTCATAAGAAAATTTAAATAAACCACAGTGAAGAACTCATACCAGAGAAAGTTTCTAAATATCAAAAATAATCTTAGATTTACAAATTTAGTTACAGAAAGTGTTATAGAATATACTTATTCTCTGGAAAGGTATTTAAAAATATCTATCTGCTTGAGATAGTTCTGAATAAAGACAGGAAGAAAAGAAGGTAAGCTAAAAAGAAAATTTTGGAGTATTTAAAAGTAGGGTGTATACTATCTCTGTGAGATGATTTCGTGAAGAAAATAGAATATCCAAGACTTTAACTCTTCTGCCGATGACCTGTTTACAGAATTAGAGGAGATGGCACTGATTGGAGTGACAGAAGCGGTGCCAGTTCTCCCCACCATCAAAAGTATCTTCTGCTGTGCCTGGCACAAGGTGTGAAATTTCATTTTTAAAGATTTATTTCTTGGATTTCTCATTGTTATGGTTAAAATGCTATAGTGCTCTCTGAGAGTTAAAGGACATAACTTGTGAAAAATCATTAATTTCCTGGTGCTAATTTAAATTTGATAATTATCTGGGAGGGGCTTAAAGGGGACGCAAAATTGTGTTTTGGAAGGGTTTAATTGATTGACATTGCAATAGTCTGCTCAAAGTCTGTGAGAATATGAATGTCTGTTTGTAAATCTGTCATACACACATAAACACATATATCAGAAATCAGAATTATATAGTATACACAAATGTGTTTGTGAGTATGTTTGCGCAAAACTATGCATATAACCAAAATACCTACACACCTGGTGTGGTATTGTATTTGATCCACTGTAAAAGTTCTTCCTGAGGCAAATTATTAAATTCTCCTATTATGCTCCATTGATTATGGAGGTTTGCATAACCTTGTATTGACATCACTGTTAGAATGCCAAAGATAACATTCTCAAAACGAACTCTGCGAAAAAGCCAGCCAAAGAGCTGAAACGACAGAAATCATTTATTTATAGTTCTTATATGAAGCGTACTGTAGGGTCAACAATAAATTCTCACCTTGTTACTCAAACCAATGTGAATTACCCTTTGATATCAGCACACACGTATACAGAATTACCATCTCCGGTTGTTTCTAAAGCAACGAATATGTTGGCATTACAGGGCTCAGGTGAAAACGGAACTTTCTCTCCCCTGGGAAGAATTAAGGAAGGAATGCCTGATCCTTCTAGTACTAATTTACTACCAAGGATTAAAATAAACAAATCACAACTGTGAAACATCTTAGAACTAAATCCTTTCATCCTTGGCTGCCTTTTGTGGACATCGTTAGTAGACAGGGAACTCCTATTAGCTTGACATATATAGATTCTTCTCAGGAAAACAGGCATTATGGTATTTTAAGGCTATACACTCATAATCAAAACTAAGTAAGGTGTTTGAAGAAATACCTGAGGCCCAGTATTCTAGCTAATTTATCTAGTTCTTTTGTATGTTAGATACAGTGATAGAACCCCAGAATTTCTTACAGATTCTTTGAGCCAAACAGGACCATACTAGAGCAATTACTCTGCATCTGCTCTGGTATTGGATGAGCACTTCAGGGTACTTTTTTTTTTTTTTTTTAGACGGAGTCTCACTCTGTCTCCCAGGCTGGAGTGCAGTGGTGCGACCTCAGCTCACTTCCACCTCTGCTTCCTGGGTTCAAGCAATTTTCCTGCCTCAGCGCCCTGAGTAGCTGGGATTATAGGCACACACCACCATGCCCGGCTAATTTTTGTATTTTAGTAGAGACAGGGTTTCACCATGTTGGCCAGGCTGGTCTTGAACTCCTGACCTCAAGTGATCTGCCCACCTCGGCCTTCCAAAGTGCTGGGATTTCAGCTGTGAGCCACTGTGCCTGGCCACCAGGAAACTCTTTTCTTTTTTTTTTTTTTTTTTGAAACAGAGTCTCACTCTGTCACCCAGGTTAGAGTGTTGTGGTGCAATCTTGGCTGACTGCAGCCTCTGCCTCCCAGGTAAGCGATTCTCCTGCCTCAGCCTCCCAAGTAGCTAGAATTACAGGCACTTGCCACCATGCCTAGCTAATTTTTGTATTTTTAGTAGAGATGGGGTTTTACCATGTTGGCCAGGAAGGTCTCGAACTCCTGGCCTCAAGTGATCCACCCATCTAGGCCTCCCAAAGTGCTGGGATTACAGGTGTGAGTCACTGCGCCAGGCACTCTTACACAAACCCGAACTCCAAAAGGTTATGTTCATGGACAGGATATTAACAGAGGGGAAATGTTTGCCTAATCGCTTGTTATAGAAATATCAATTAAAATCTAGAAATACTTTTCAAAGCCACTTGAAATTGCTTTTCTTGCTTATAGTGAATCATGAAGTAATATTTTAAATCATTTAAGTTAGTTAAGTTAAAAACACTTAGTGTGTTTATATTTTGAATTAGTTAGCAAAGCCGCAGTAATTGTAAGTGTAGCTGCTATAGCTGAGGTCACACCCCTGCACTCCAGCCTGGAAGACAGAGTGAGACTCCGTCTCAAAAAAAAAAAAAAAAAAAAAAGTACCCTGAAGTACTCAGTCTGAAACTTTTGAGTACCAATATGATGTTCAAAGGTTATGCTTGTATTGTTATAAAAGAATGAATCCCTTACCCGCCGAGAGCATATCAAGGAAGCCATAACACACATATGTGGCGTCAAGAACAGCTTTAGCCTCATAATTAAAATGGCAAGGGCAGTAAACGCTAACAACTGCAACGTGTGAAAAGCCAGCTATAAAAACACAAATAAGACAAAATCATATTTTTGCTTTTCATATTTTTAAATTAATGAACTATATTGAAACTATATTATTCATTAAGACAAGGATCTTCTAACTTAGTAATGAGCCTATTAGTATTCATTCATTCAACAACAATTTATCGAATGCTTACTATGTTCCAGGTCCTCTTCTGGGTGCTTCAGATACAACAGTGAGCAATTTCTGCCCTTGTATTGTATTTAAGTACATTTAGTAATGACAGACAGACAATACATAGACATAGCAAATAAATAAGTCCATTACATAGTCTACTGTAAGGCAGTAAGTGCAGCCGGCAAGAAAATGGAGCAGGCAGAGGAGCCAGGGAGAGCAGGAGGTGGTGTGAGGAGGCGGAGGACCAACACAGTGGGCCTCACTGTAAAGTGACACAGTTACCAATGCATCCCTGATGCAAACATCTGAAATCTACAATGCTCCAAAATCTGAAACTTTTGAGTACCAATATGATGTTCAAAAGTTATGCTAAAACAAATGCTCATTGAAGCATTTTGGATTTTGGATTTTCAGATTAGGGATCTCAGCTAAGTAACTATAGTATAAATATTCCAAAATTCAATAAAATCTGAAATCTGAAACGCCTCTAGTCCTAAGCATTTTGGATAAAGGATACTCAACATGTGTCATAAACTATCCCTATTAAGTTCAAATTCAGTTACCCACTCCTGTCAATTTGACCTTTACCTCAACACCCACTTAAAGTTCTATCAAATAGGAAATTATTTCCAGCCCACACTGATCTTTTCCTTTTTATGCCACAAAATAATTTCGCACCATATAAAATGTTGTCTTATTTGTCTCCTTTGTAAAATTACACATACTGAAAGGCAGGAACATTACTTTAGTATCTTTTGTGTCCTTCAACACTTCTGAGCTTGTCGCTGACTGACCAGCAAATCTACGTGGTGGCAGATGGCCACCAGTCACAGGGCGAGGGGTGACTGCCCTAATGGACTGTAGCTGATTAGCTCAGCAGGCTAGAAACCAAATGCTTGTTATTGTTAAAGGAATGCAATTTAATTTAATTCTGTACTATAGTCACAAATCAGCCTTCTAGCTTTTAAATCCTTATTACTATTCAAAAGTGAGAGCAGATGAAAGAGCGAGAAGGATCAGCAGAAATGTATCACCAATGCTGACAATTCACGACTGATGGTGCGTCAGCAGCAGGTTATACCTTTGTCAATTATCCTCAAACTAGAATGTAATACACAAGTCTACCAGAGATTAAAATGAAAGCTTTACCTCACCGTGTTCAAGGAGCTTTTTTCTAGAATAAAACAAAAATATTATCTATTTACTGATGTCTCTTATACTATGAATACATAAAAATAAGCTTCATTTGTTTGATCTTAGATTTTAAAAATCTGAGTATCTCTAAACTACTTAGGAACATACATAAAAATAAAAATATCAGATAATACTACAAAAATTACAACAATTTAAAAGTCATAATTTATAGTCATCATACTCAAGATATATCAAAAATTTGTTCTTTGGTTAAAACAAAATAAATTTTACAGACCCCTGGAGATTGTACCTCTCATGAATAAATGAATAGGATGACCTTCTATTAAACCTATATATACAGTGTATACAATACTTTAGATGACCACTGTTAAACTTTTGAGTTGTTTTCATTTTTCACAATTACAAATAACATAAGCACTCGTGCATAAAACTTTGTAAGCATCTCTGAATATTTCCTTAGCATAAATTTCCAGCAGAAAAATTGGGTAAAACATAAATATTTTTAGTTTCAGAAAAGTTATCCCTTTACAAAACACTTACAGTACACCTACTGTATTCTAGGCACTGTGCAACGAAATGAATACCACAGTCCCAGCTTATCCTCCGATCCTCACTTTCCACAGTTTCAGTTACCTGTGGTCAACTGCAGTCCAAAAATATTAAACAAAAAGTTCCAGGAAATAAACAATTCCTAAGTTTTAAATTGTGCACCATACTGAATAGTGAAATCTCAAGTCATCCTGCTTCATCCTACCTGGGACGTGACTCACCCCTTTGTCCAGCATATCCATGCTGTATACGTCACCAGCCTGTTAGTCACATAGTTACCATATCAGTTATCAGATGGACTCTGGTGGTAGCTCAGTGCTTGTTTTCATGTAACCCTTTTTCTGACTTAATAATGGCCCCAAAGTGCAGGAACAATGATGCTGGCAGTTGAGATATGCCAAAGAGAAGCTGTAAAGTGCTTTCTTTAAGAGAAAAGGTGAAAGTTCTCAAAAGAAAAAACATCATATGCTGTGGTTGCTAAGATTTACAGTAAGAATAAATCTATCCATGAAATTGTGAAGAAGAAAAAATTAATGCTAGTTTTGCTGTTGCATCTACAACTGCAAAAGTTATGGCCACAGTCCATGATAAGTACTTAGTTAAGATGGAAAAGGCATTAAATTTGAGGGTGGAAGACGTGAACAGAAATGTGTTCCGATGATGGCAATCCGGTGTGTTACTCTCTGCAGTTTCAAGCGTCCACTGGGGGTCTTGGGATGCATCGCCCTGCAGATAAGGGCAACTGCTGTGCAGCATGAACAGTATGGACACAACACTTACCTTCATGGAGTTTCTATTAGAGTAAGACAAGAGGTAGGAGGCTGCCTATTTTATTCTTCTCTTGAAAAGACTGGGTATTTTACTTTTATGAAAGGTTTTATAGCCTGCAGGGGCATTCTGATATGGATTTTGGGGGTGAAGAGAGAAATAAGTGTAGAAACTAAATTCAGAGGTACACAGACCCATAGGTTTTTTTTAAAAGAGAAGTCAGGGGACGGTCTCTTAAGATAGTAGTGGAGCCCAAATTATTCTATCTGCCTTGTAGCTCCTACCCTTTGTATGCAGTAGTTTTTTTTTACACAGAAGACAGGAAGGTCTCTTAAGGTAATAGTGGAGACCAAATTATTCTATCTCCCTTGTAGCTCCTTCCCTGGGCATGCAGTTAACAGAGTGCGGTTTTCCCACTTGTCCCGAAATCTTCTAGGCACAACAGATTCCTGTAGTGAGCTGCATGCAAGGAAGAAGCCTGGTAGGTGAGTAATTATTATAATCACCAAGAACTCTGAAAGTAACTACTGATACTTTATTTAAATCAGGTAGCTAATTAAAAATGTGATTATACAACCAAATCCCAAGACACAAATAGCATGAAAAGGAAACATCAAAATAAATGGGTAAAAAACTTGACCTCTCATGAAATGGCTAATGCAAATGAAAACTCCAGTTATTATTTTCACAGAAGTTTAAGAGGATAATGCATCCATATAATTAAAATAGGCTTCAGTGAAAAGGAGTTTTCAGAAATTCTAAGAAAAATATATTTGCCTAATTTAAAGCCTCAAAAGGAGGTTGAAGAGCAACATGTGCACAGCTGAAGTTGACAGTATTAAAGACTCAGTGATGACATTCTCTGAGAACACAGAAAGAAAAGAAAAAGATAATATGATAAAAGCAGTAACAGAAATTCAAAAAAGAGAGGCTAAAGTG